CAGAGAAAACTTGCCAAAAATGGCCAAAAATTCACTCAAAATTAAACAAGAGCAATAGCTACATCAGCAGTGGAAGTCATGCTCAAAATAATAGAAATAATAAAACTATCAACAACATAGTGGAGGGATAGAAAAATAAACCATATATATATATGTATGTATATATAAAATTAAAAAATAAGGAATCTGCTTCAATATCTAGGAGGCCAACTTACATATTCACATCATCAGGCTAATTCTAGAAGCTGCCATAAAACCCGAAGTGATTAGTTATGCACAGCTGTCTCTTCAAGGCTGTTAGTTACACTTGCAGTTACATGTTTTGTGCAAAGTAGAGACAGAACCTCAGGTTTAAAGAAAAAAGGATATCTAAAATTAAACAAATAAATAAATAAATAAAATGATAATAATAATTTATTCAGCTTCACATAAATAATGAGCAACGAGATACAGGAAACACCAGGAGTAATACTGTGTACCTGATGTGCTTTGGCCCGGAGGATACTGCTGAGATCAAAACTGTCTTGGCTCTTTCTGTACTCTGTCACATATGTTTACCCATAATCCTGTTCACAAGGTCAGTCTGCAGAGACGGCGACAGCCTTCTATACAGGAGCACACATTTCTGAGCATGTGGAGGCATGTTACCAGTTCACAATACACAATACAATATAGATGTGGACATCTAAAAAACAACATGCTGTTGAAGTCACAGACTGAGACTTTGTCAACTCTCATCCCAATGTTATACATATAACCTGCAAAAACAAGTGTCTCCTTCAACCAGTAAGGTGCTTTGACATAAAGGCTGTGTCAAAAAGTGGGAGACTTTTCACTTTGTGTTTTTTAACATCAGTTAATGATGTGTCAATACAATGCTTTTCTTTTACTCTCTTATAACATAGTATGTTGTTTTTAGCCCTTATCTGTTGTATTTTTGTTGTTTTGTTTTGTGTTGAACAGGTTAAATATCACAGTGTAAGGATCAACTTAGGGCCGGATTTTACTGATCATGTGACAAATAAACTCTAGAATTTTAAATTATTTCCTCAAATCTGTCTAAACATTGATTGCAAGTACAGGGATATTGTACAATATACACAAAATGTCAACAATACTACTTCAAAATCAAACTAAAGCTTATGTCATAATGACAGTCCTGATCTTTACTAAACTTTACCGTTCAGGAAAACACTCTGAGACACAGTACTGAGACACAGTACATGGTAAAATCTAAAAGCTCAGGATTCTGAAGACAGACCTCAGTTATAACTCCGTCTGTGTGGACCTGGTGGAGTAGCTGCAGTAACATTTCCTTCCTGTGGTGACTATTCAGAGCTTTAGTTTGGCACAGCAATGAAAGTCCAATTACCATCCATTACCTACACAGTGTTCAGAGCAGGAGTCCCCAACCTCCAGTCTGTGGACCAGTCCAGCTCTGTGGGTTATTTGGTACCCGCAGTACGACACAAAATAATTAATAAATTACCTAATTTGTAGAGAATAAGACTAATAATAAGATTTCCATTTACTTTATTCAGTGGGCAGGGACTTCTGGTCTAGGAGACCAGAAAGACCAATGCCTTATAAAACCAAGTCAGGTCCCAGGAGGCCAAGATGACCAGCACTGCAAGGACCCAAACAGTGGGCGGCTGATGAGCAATTTTGGAATGAACCACAAACACACCGAGGATCAACTGACTAAGTCCACTCCACAGTTTACTAGTTAAAACCATTGAGCTGCAGTTTTCTTCTAATAGCTCAGTAAAGGTACATACAGTTGTCCACTCATGATTTCCAGAAAATTCAAGAGAACATATTTAAAACATCCATCCATCTTCAGCCGCTTATCCATTACCAGGTCACAGGGGCAGCAGTCGCCACCCAAATCACATTGCACCATAACAACCCCCCAAACCTTCCTGCGGGTGGTGAGTCCACTGAAAGGTACCAACTGCCCCAACCGGGATTTGAACTTGCCCAGGAGGTGAACCCTGGGATTCTACACCAATGACAGAGACATTGCCTCTGGGCCAAAGCACCACTATTTAAAACATTGCATGTTGAATTATCAGATCGAGTGACTTACTCCGTCTCTGAAATGCCAAAAAATCCAAGGTAAAATACTCAGGCGTGAAAGTTGTACCAGTTGGGTAGAAGATAAAAACTGCTTCCCTGAAAAAGCTGATAACTTTAATTGAGGTGTTGTAAATAAATATTAAATATTAAATAAAATAATTTGGTAGACTCTCAATTTCCTCCAAGTTTGAATAAATATTTGAAAATCCCAGGACTGATATTACTCTCTTTACACTGAGTACCAACTCAGATATACATCAAGTACCACCAGCATGACAACATTAAAATACAGCTTTCCAGATCCTTGTGTTAATTACTGCTTGAATCTAAAATTGAAAAACAAGGTTTATATCTTCTAGGCTAGTCACAAACTAAGAATTCTTTTTTTTTTTTCACCCTGTAAGTATCCTTTTACGATTCACTAAGCTGTGTAAAATGTCTTAGATGAAAGATTATGACGCCACAGGAGGTCCGTTTTCCTGATGGCAGGGAGTGTTTAAAGAGGAGGAGGTCATTGGCGGTGCAGTGGCAGGCTCTCCTCCTTAATGACACCTCAAAGTGAGAGCCCATCATTCCCCCTAATTATGGCTGATTGCATTCATTATGTCATGGCCTGACATCTAGGAGGCGCTGTTGGTGGTTGGAGCTAAATGGCAGATACGGGTTGGCTTGTTTCTCAAAGCTAATTGGATGTCGGTTTGGAGAAGCAAACACAGGAAGGAGAAAAGTCTCTCTCTGTCTCTCACCAGCAGATTGTCCACTGTCAGATGCATATTTTATGAGCTGGCAGACCCCTCACGGAGCAGTCGCAGGCCCGGGGTTGTGATGGTAGTGGGATGTCAAGCACCTCTTCCAAGAACTCCCCCAAGCTCTGTTTTAATGAAATTAACAAGGCCCCTTGTTGAAGATGAGTTTTATTTAAATCTTATCTTTGAAAAAGAAAAATACAGAATTGACTTTTGACACAGCCGTGTTTTTTTTTTTTTAAAGTTAAAACGAACGAAGCTGATTGTCCTTGGAAGCACAATGGAGTGGAGAAAGAGACAGACACCTCTCCATTCTGTTAGCCCTAAACTGTATTGAAAAGGATGTAAATGAAAGCAGCAGCTAAATGCATTCTAAAGCACCAAAGGGGACGTATTTCATCTGCAGTATTACATTTCTGCAGGACAGAAAAAGAGAGCGAGAAAGCGAAGAGATTAGAAAAGCACTACGGGAGCAATTCTGAATCTCACAGATCAGCAGTGAAGGGACAGCAAAGCTGGCAACAGAGATACGAAGCCACAATGGTGAATCACTCCCACACGTCCTTCTCTACAATGCCAGACAGGGCCAGTGACTCTGAAATACTGATTCACCTATTTGCCGACTTGGGCGGATTTGTTCCCACACCTCCGCGCGCTGCTTATTCTCATAGCTTTTTTCAACATGATGCATTTCTGCAGCTAAGGCCTGTGTATCTGGCTTCCTCCCAAATCCAGTAAAAAAGGCCATAATTATTTACTGCTGAGGGTAATGTCTATGAATAATAAATGTGTTTAATTACTCCTCGCTACTGTTACTAATGTCCTCGGCCACTGTTCCCATTCACAAAATGCAATTTATTGAGGTGAAACTACCGCAGCTTCCTGTCCTGGTTTTCTTTATCATCTCTCTGCTCTCTTCTGCTTTACTGCACTATAATGTGGCATTTGCCGGTGTCTGCATGTAAAACAGCTGCGGGCTGCTCTGCACATAACAGAGATGGAGAACAGAGAGAGAGAGAGAGCGTGCTGTAAATCAGAGGCTAAATGAGTTATTGAAAGAAATATATTTTGCATATACATGATGCATGCAACCAGGGTAGGTTGTGCATGTCTTCATCTAAACCCTGAAACTGTCTTGGAGATCTATGAGAATTAGATCTAGGGGATCATACATTACCACCGCATGCCAATACTCTGTTCTAACCCGCAGCCAAGTTTGTTAATCACAGAATTATGGTAAACTCAACAGATTGTAAACTAGTCACACAAGAAAGAAACAAAAAAGGGGAAAGTGATGTCTTTGAAATTGTAAATAAAAAAATCTGCAGAATTTGACACAGATGTTTGGCAGCAAAACACAAATCTCCTTAAATTGGAGACTGTGAATTCAGACAATAATCCAAGTGACTATGGTTCTGAAGCTTTTTAAAACTTGTACCACTACAAAAACCACCACCAATGTGAGCAACATTAAAAGACAGCAGCACAATACAAACAAACAAAGATAATATATATGATAGCCAATAAAATACTAGGCCTAGTCACTAGCCAAAACCACAGAGTACAAAGTAGTAATGCTACCGCTAGTTTAATTTCATTTTGAAACTGAAACCACACACACATTCACCTCTCTATAGAAGTCACTGTCCAGACACATTACAGTCATTTTAATCCAAGAAGCCAAACAGCTTGCTTGCAAAAAACAGCAAACAAAACAAAACAAAAACAAAAACAAACAAACCAAAAAAAACAGGACAATTACTGATTGAGAATAATGCATTAAGATGTTAAAGATCATATTCATCAAACCAACACCTAGAGGCATTTACGGACATTATGACACCGGTACCTGTCAGCTGAACGTTGACCACATGCTTTAGTAGATTTCTAAAGTGTAAAACCTCAGAGTTGACAAGTCAACATCCTCATGCTAGCTGTCAACTTCAATCGCTGTCAACACAACACAACAACCAAACATCTATTTTGTCAAGGTCAAAGAAACAAATGAAAAATACATTTGAAAAGCATTTGTGTTCTGAACAAAATCTGCAATTGACCAAAATGAAAGAAAAAAACAATCAACTGAGACTTAAACATCCTGTCAAATCACATGAAGCAGGTGACCTGAACCAAATCGAACATCCAGAAATAAGGGACATTTTTAAATTGACTTACCTTTAATTCCCAAAAATTTAGAGACTATCCTTCCGGGCAAGATTAGTCCAAGTGGAACCTGTGTCAGAGGACGAAAGAAGATAGAATTAGATGTTTGTTGACATAATTTAGGTAAATATCAAGGGGTAAACAAGCAATTAACACAAGGACACAGAAAGTAGGAGAATGTATTTGTCAACCACAGGGGTGGCTAAAAATATCATGTTCCGAAAGCCAAACCAGTGAGAGTCTCTACAAGTCAGCAGTGAAATATTGGGATGACCTGTCAGAATATAACTTTGCTCTAAAGTCCACTGGTTCATCCCAGGAGGAACATGAACTGGTTTGTTCCAACTACAGCCGTACATGTTTCTGAGGTGACTGTAACGTTGTTGTCTGCGCCTCAGTGTTTGAGGCATACAGTACCAACTTGGGGCTTTAATCAGAGAGGCAAACGTTTTCATGCTTTAACTGAGATTCTAAGATACGGAAAACAGGTTTTAGTTTAGAGGAAAACAAATTGTTTCCCCAAGGTTTCAGCTGGGATTCTTACTCATTATTTAGGTATATAAATTAGGTCTCCCAGGCAAAGTGAAGTTTTAATCAAGTTAAAGCCAAAGAGCAATTCTCAAAAGAAGGTCAGGGTCATAAAAATAATCACAAATCAAATTTGACTTAAACACTCAAAGAGTCTGGTCCTAATGAAGTCAAAGCCCATGATCATAAAAGTCAGTATCGGTTCAATTCCCTTGAAGCAAATTAAAAAATTAAATTTAAAAGAAAAAGACAGTTTTCAAGTCACTCTAATTTTTCTGTTGTTGAATTATCAACTTTTCTAATCAGAAACCAAATCACTGAAAGGAAAATTTTGAATGGCATCTAAAGATCCCCAAAATCCACTTTCAAGTCACTGAAGAACACTCAACTAAAGCCCGGGTTCCTTGAGGGTCTGTGAGTCCTAGATCAAGTACTGGCTGAAATATAGTAGGTATTCCTTATACACTTATCAAAAATGCAGTAGAGGCAAATACTGTACGTCCCAGACTCAAACACAGTGGAATTTACAGCACACACTAACAATAGGGGAAAAAACAGACTGGAAGTCAGAACTCTTACTGAGGAACCCAGCAGTGTCCCATTGAGTTACATGCAATCTGCTGCTGGACTGAGTGATGCACAGTGAGGGACCACTTTAGGCAATATGGGAACCGACAAGGTCACTCGTCACCACACGGCACCTGTCAGTGTAGCGACATGTGAGGCTGTGGTAAACCTCCTCCTGCCCAACAGAGGTGTAGTGAGTAGGAGAGAAGAATAGATGTAGGGAGCCTTTCAGACTGCCACGTGGAAGCATTGGATCATTAACGGGCCTTGGTGAATGCCAGGGTCCTGGCTTCCTTCCAGAGGGAAAGGGGAAAAGAGGGAGAGAAAAGAAGAGCGATTCAAGCGGCACTCATTTCCTTCCCTCTACCTCGCAGCCTTCATATATCCTCTTCCTTGCACAGTCAGCATTCCCATACTATCAAGCTTCAAAACATCATGCATGCCCGCCAGCCTCTTTTTCAAACCGAGTTAAGATGAAAAAAAAGAAAAAAGGTTGAACAGTGTAGGACTGTAGAAGATTTCACACAGCCACCTGGTGGCAGATAATTCTCTTTTTTATTGACTTTTCCTCCTTTAGAAATAACATTTAGAGACTCATTCAGGGTCTAAACAGGCATGAAAGGTCGCAAAACAATAAATAAAACAACTTGAATAAAGGGTTATAACCTACAGGCTAAATGTCCTTTGTTTTGGAAAACTTAAAAATGTTTTATTAAATAAAAAATATTATTTATAAAATTTATTTATCTGTTCTTAATTTACTTTGGGGGGCATGAAACAAGAACACAACAAACAAGCAAATAATAGTGCAGTACCTGTCAATGCCACAGGGGCAAAAATGGGATATTTTTCCACATGTGTTTTGTAAATTTTTATATTCTGTATTTAAAAGTGAAGGGTAGTAAAGCTAGAGTGCGCCCTACATTCCAAACCAGAATCCCTAGTTAGTGTTAGCATCACAATCTCTTTGATGCAGCCATATACAATATATATCATACAGAAAGTATTTTAAGTTCATCAAAGTTTATTGTTATACTTTTTAGTTTAGAGTTTAATAATACAGTATATGGAACAAAGTAGATTACCAAAGCTCCACCTCATCCCCATCATCTGATTCAGAATAATCCATATGTCACACTGATTACAGCAGCTGTATATAGAGTGAGGGTTCAACTATTTAAGCCAATAGGTTCTTGATGAGTTTCCCAGACTGGGAGAACCTACCAAGCACAGCAGCTAAGAGGACATCAGAGAGGACCACCACGGGGATTTGCTGGTGAGCACAAATCACTTGTCATTATTATCACTGCTCCATATATGCCCTAGACCTTGAGATTAGGAAAGAAAGTTCAAGTTCAGAGCACACTGGCAAAGGATTTAGGAAACTGACAAGAGAGAGAGAACGTTGTTTAATGCTGAGTCAGACATTGTCCTCTTTTCAAGAGTGATTTTTTTATGCACAGAAATTGTATAGGATCCTTGGTAACCATAACTGCATGAATACAAAACAACGTGCATTTGACACCTCAGCTAGAACTTCACTGGTCCAACAACTTTTTTTTGTGTCACATTATTCAACGTTTTCACCATGGACTCAGCAGCAGTTTAAACTTTATTTTTTTAGGGGACATGCAACATCTCTGATCCGCAAGTCAACCTTGTCAATTTCTCTATTGTCAGCCTCTCTCGTTTGGTGTGAATGTAACCACACATGGTTTTCTAGATTAAGAAATCTCTTTGTGTCATCACCATTTCATAGCTTTTCATCACTGAGTCTGGATTTTCTCCAAGCCCTGTGTCGGGAATGGCCAGTTTGACAGAGGCCTCCAGGGAACTCTGCTACAGCATTAGGGGCCATCTATTGGCCACTAGGGACATTGACAGTTGCAGCAATCATCTGATAATGGTCATGCAACCGCCTCACCCCTCAGACTACTTCATCACCATCGCTGTACTTGCAGACCATCAATGTGGTCTTAGAAGTGTGTTGTTAGCCAAAGAGAGAGTTTACACAATGGTCCTGACATTGTCTGGCTCTTATCCTGTCCCTAATGTTTTTATTGTGTCGATTCTGCTGCACGTAGATCTCCATTCAATCCATAACAAACAAACATTAAAGTAGTTTGGATCTTTGGTTTTCAAATCCACACTGGCTGATATAAAATGTAAATCTAAACCCAGAAATACAATCCAGTAGTTGACATTATCTACATTACATTATCAGTAAATATATTAAAATTTGAAATCAAATCCAAGAGATCTACTGTTGCATTTGTGTAACATTTTTGTCCGTATATCGACATTGGTCATTGACTGATGCTCCTTTATGTCAAGTCCTCATAGTGAATCCTGAATTTTAGGGCATTGTACCAACTGTTATTGGTTTAGTTTCTACCTTTTTCTTCCTGTCGGTGATCATTTGTGTTAAGTTCACATTTACAACAGGATCTCATTTCTGTGTGGGACCAGGCCTTACAGGATCATGGGAGAGAACGGTGCTCTTTGTACTTTCCACTGAGTGGTCCTCTCTTCCAGCAGGAGTAATATATTGAATAATTCGGACAGAGGAAATGCTAACAGTGCAGCAGGGTCAGAGATCTTGTCTCATGGTCTGCTCATTATTACTTTTTCACCTTGTTAGCCCTAACACATGGCTGCAGCTGCTGTTAGCAAGAACCCCACGACTGTATGATCAATGCCTGTGGATAGTAAGGAAAGAAGCCAAGCGTGGCAGCCAAACCGAGCCGATGTGGAAGATTTTTTGGGGGAAGAAGTGGGGGCAAAGCAGCAATGCCAAGCAATTTCTCAAATCACTAGATTCTGAAATAATTGGACCAGCCCTCCTTGTTAAATCACCACCAGCAGAAGTGGCCTTACAAATGTAGGAGCTTAAGAAACTTTACACCACAGATGATAGAACAATAATGGTCCTCTTGTATGTGCAGTTATTAGAGTGAAACATGGTGTATTAAGTGTGACTTAAATTGAAAACAAAAAAAACAATTTGGAAATTATTTTGCTATGTCTGGCAAACGTATAACTCTTTCTTTAGCTTTTTTTAATTTTGATCATTTGATAATTTTGATTTTAGGACTTTTGGCATCTTTTTCCTTACTAATAACACTGTTTCTAATTTTGTCAATTGGCTTTTCATGATTTTCATCTTCTAAACTTTAGTTTGGATGGTGATTCTCCAGGTAAATCTGTTGTCCTTCCTGGACTCTTAAAAAAAACAAAAAAACTTTTGACTAATTTCTCCTGCCTGGTTTTGGCTTAAGCTAGCTATTCTGGTTTAGACATACATATTTCTGGCTAACTATAAGATAATTGTTAGCTATATAGATCCTTAAAATAAGCTCTGAAAAATGTCTCTCTTTTTGGAAACCAAGACTATAAGCTTTAAAGTTAAATACCGCTCCCTGTGCCACAGCATATGGGAGCCAGGCACCACAGATGCCAGCTTCTCTTGTATGTGTTACCTGACACGCTTCGTGAAGAGCTTTTGGCACGTCAGCAAAAGCTGTTGGAAAAGCAAATAGTCATTATCTCCTACCCAGGCAACTTTGAGCAGCTTGGTGCACAGCATGAGCCCCTCTGTAGATGATGTAAGCCAATCCACTTCACACGTATCTTCAAAAACATCATTTCAGCTCTTGACTCGGTTCTTCATGCCTGCGTTTCAAGAATCTAAATAAAGTCTTATCAAAGTCAAGCATCTACAAGGACACAGCGTGAGATTGAATACGGAAAAAAACAACAATGTTTATTTCCTTTAGCCGTCAAGTTTCAAACTGAAGAGAAACAAATTTATTGTAAACTAAGAATCCCGTAAAACATCAACTGAGTTTAGTGAGACCAGTGTTTTTGACAAAGTAAAACAATGTGGAGTTAAAGTCTTTGAAGTGAAAGAGGAACACGATGACCAACATAAATCGAGCATGCAGCAGAAATTAGGAGCCGCACCAAAGCTCACTG